GGAACCTCTCATTTGCAACTCCTGAATGAGCGCACACAACAAGAATGGCTGTAACGAAGCGACGCTGCTTGCTAAAACAAACTGCTCCTGATGGGCAAACCAGCGTTTCAAAGCGGCTTCTCGGGGCACGAACATTGAGCTCGCAATCAAAAACACCCAGCCACACAAGTTCCGCAACAAAATGGCGCTGCTTTGATTTGCTCAACACGAAATGCCAGCCCCCAAACCCTCGCACCCCCACCCCCCCTCCGCGCCCTTCAACCCGAGCCCTCCTCCACCGTAATTTCCCGGCCAGCTTGTTCTTCTTCTTGTGTTACCATTCCCACGCTTCTTGTTTTACCACTCCCACAATTGGGGGCTGGTTTATATGGGCCAGCATAGGCGCACCCCCCCCCCCTCCCCCACCCCATGGTATCCCCCCCCCCCCCTGTGGTTCATGGTGGGTTTTGGGTTCCGCACCCCCCCACCCCTGTGGTTCATGATCTGTGGTTCATGGGTTTAGGGTTAGGCTGTAGGGTTCAGGATTTTCACTCTGGTCCATTGGTTCACTGTGGGTGTAGAGTTTGATTAGGGTTCAAGGTTTAGGGTAATGATAGGTTACGGTTTCCCCTCTCCCCCCTGTGGTTCGTGCTGGATTTACGGTTGAAGGTTCAGGGTTAAAGCAACAAAGGTTTCGGGTTTACCCTTCTCCCTCCCGTCGTTCATTGGTGGGTTTAAGTTTTAGGGCTTAGGGTTCATGGTTTGGGGTTTAGGTTGAGGCTTTTCTGTCCCCCCCCCCGGGGTCCGTGGCGTTGTTAGGGTTAACAGGCATGCAGGGTTTGGGGGGGGGGGTTGCCATGGGGGGGGGATACCATTGGGGTGGGGGGGGGGGGGGGTCGATTACGCGGACCGCGGGCGATACGTGTTTACAACAAGCTCCACACCCGCGATCTCCGGTTTGGGTTGCTTGGCCGCCGGGGCGGGCCCGGGCACACAAGTCCCGCAACAAGAGGCGTTATATTCACATGCTGACCCATAAGGTTCTATGGAAACAAACCGGCAGACTTATCCAACATGAAGGGAAACATAGGGAGACAAGCGAAGAAGACAAAGCGAGACAGGAAGACACACAAGCCACCACAAACCCGGCAGGCAGAAGGAATTGAGGACCCAACAATGTCTACTGTTTTGGGGAACTACTAGGAACACGGGTCCTAGATTGCCGTGGTGTTTGGGTGTGCGAAAACGTTTTACCTGGGTTTCTGGAGGATGCCTAAAAAAACAGTAAAGAAACTACTTCGATGCTTACTGAATTGGGGGCTTTGGTGTTAAATGAGATCGTACTTCAGCCAAAAGGCATGGACGCTTGTGACAGCTTTTCTTCTTCCACATCCTTGCGCAGTATGTTGTACAACGAGGCGAAAACGTGGAAAATACCAGTGTTTTGGGCATCGTCGCAATTGGCATGGACGCTTGTGACAACGCGTCCTGCTCCGCATTGTTGCGCGGTATGTCGTACAACGAGGCAAAAACGCAGTAAATACCAGTGTTTTGGGCATCGTCGAATTTGGCATGGACGCTTGTGACCACGTGTCTTGTTCCACATCCTTGCGCAGTGTGTTGTACAAAGAGGCGAAAACGCGGTAAATACCAGCGTTCTTATCCCCCCCTCCCCCCCCCCCCCCCCAAAGCCGAACAACGGGAAACTGCAGGAAACATCGGAAAAATGCAGGAAACACTGCGACAATCTACGGCCCGTGTTCCAACTACTATCCTCAAGTGAATGACCCGAAACCATGCCAACTGGCCACCAAAAAACATGCAACAACGACAGCTTGAAAAAACACCATAGCTTCAAAACCTTTTCGGACCCCGGTGGAGGGGACAGAACGAAATGGGGGGGGGTGGGGGTCGGAGATGCCCTGACATGGAACTTGGGGCCATTTCCAATTCTCCAGAAATTTGAAATCCAGATTTGGGCACGCGGGGGCTCCTTTTTCCTGACATGGAGCTGCATCTGTACAGCACACATGTGTGCTGACATCTGACATGACACACGGAGCAAGCAAGCCCCAAGAACCAACTAAAGCGAAACAACAACCATCAAGTATCAACCTCCCAGAATACGTTGTTCCACTGAATTCTCAAAATGCGCGGCTGCCCCCCCCCCCCCCCCCCTTCCCTTTATGTCGAGAGTAGTCCGGTACTTGAGGAGGCACGGGGAACCATGGATGCAATGTCGGGCTGCCCTATTCTTCGGAGACCAAGGCATTGGCAAATCCAAGGCGCTGCAAGCAATGCGGGGCGCCTCGTTCTGAGCAGGCATACTTTGAATCGCTGCCTGCAGATCGCCAAAAGAAAAGGGTCCAAACCACATGTCGCCACATGTCGCCACATGTCATCACATGTCACCACATGCCGCCATGTCTTCCCTCTTCCCTGGGCCTCCATGCGCCGCCTCGGCTGTCAACATGTGTCAACGGAAATTCCTACTCACATTCAACGAGTACGGCTGGTTCATTGCGTGACTCGGCTTCGTGTTTTGCGGCTTTAATGCATAGAGAAGCATTTTCGAACCCCTGTCAGTAGTATCGCCCTGCGTTGGCTGGACGAGTGCCCTTATGCCCCGTGGCAACCAATGTTGCGCGCACCCACTTGCGAATGTGCTATTGGAAACGCTGGCTTGCGGCCTAAGTTTTATTTGGAGATACCAGCACTGGCTCGAACAATGATAAAATGCTTCTCCCAGCGCATCCGAATTCTCAACGAAGCAAGGGCCCCTATGCTGACAGACTAGGGTAGAGCAAAGCATAGTAGGCTGAGCATAGACGCGTTGAAGAGTAGATACTTGAGATCTGGGCTACGAAAGCTAGAAACGCGGCTGACTGAAAAGGGGGGGGGCCAAAAGGGGGAGGGGGGGGCCCCCCCCCCCTCCCCAGAAATCATTAAGGAATTAAGGACCCTGAAGGGGGGGGGGGGGTAAGATTGATTCTGTCAATCCTATAAGGGGGGGGAGGGGCAGCCGTTTATCTGTTTGATTTTCATACCACTTAAGGGTCGGGGTCGCTTGTTGACCCAGCTGAACACTAGAGAGAAGACTTGTAAACGACAACTCTCGCGAGCTCCAAGGAGCTAGCTTGCGTGACCTCGATCATCCCCATCCTACATTTTGGACGGGTGGTTCCGGAACTCTACCGCAAGCTTTTACCACGGGGCTCTCCGCAAAATTCTCTACCTTCTCCAATGATACTCGGCGGGACTCTCCACGTGCTTCTGTGTGTGTCTTTTCTCGGCGACTCTCTGCAGGACTCTCTGGTGATGCTTGGCAGGAATTTGCGCGGGATTCTTGGGCCCTCTGAAGGCGGTGACTCCAGGGATAGTCGGCGGTATGGAGGCACTTTTCGCATGTTTTTCCGGGGCTGGGCGCTTCACGGGGGGCTCTCTGCAGGTTCTGGGGTCGGGCACTCCAGGCAGCTTAAGTTGACATGTAAAGTACCACTGGCCACAATGCCAATATGGGCCACACGGGGCAGACACCACGCGTGGCCTTTAGCCATGTTCTGCTCCTGCAGGGCCTTTTTGAGCGGCTGTTGCACTTTCTATGATGTGCGCGCCGGCGGGCAAGGGCTCTCGCACAGCCCATGCTTTTGTACTTTCTCCATTGTCCAGCCGGCTGCCAAGTTGTCCTTGCTTCTTGGGTTGGCCTTAAGTCTTGCACCGCCCTCACACGTAATGTGAGAGTCCCATTTATAAATGGGGTGGTAATAGCAAAATTCGCCGGGCCAGAGGGGTCCAGCCGAAGACTACTTTCCATTACGGGAGGTTTTCGGGCCGATGTATGTAAACAAGTCTATATAGGGGGGTGCGGTGATAATAATAAAGGGTGGTAATACCAAATTTTTTCCGGCCTGGAATTTAAAATTTTACTGAGAATCGCTTAAGAGTTCCATTGCAGAGAAGCCCCCCCCAGACCCCCAGACCCCCAGACCCCCAGAATTGATTATTGGCACCCCGTCTTTTTTTCCACCCCTCCAAACCCCGGGGACCACAACAAGATTTGGGGGGGGGGGGGGTTTATTAAAGGGACCCTAACATTAGTGGCTGGTGTGTCCTTCCGTTTTCCTTCACCCTCAGAAGCAGGGCTGGAGGCACCTTGTCGATGATACCCTTCTTGAGTCTCCGACCTCTTCGCTGCCTCTGCCTGCGATGTGCGAAGGCCGTGGGCTCGAGTCACAAAAGCCCAAGAAAGGAAGCAAGTAAGGGAGCAAGACGCAACAAGATGCAACAAACAATAACAAACAGACTCAGAGCAGAGACAGGCTCTAACAGAGCTCGAATCAAACCATGTTGCCCTTGTCAGTCGCGCCACTTGGCACTTAAGAGTTCCAATCACTATTTCCGGTGAGTGCTACCAGATTGCATTGAAAAGCAGCGAACAGAACCTCAAGGGACTCTTTAAGCAAAGAAACGTCTCAGTCAACAAAAAAGCTGGCTCGAAGCCAATCCACGCCGACGGCATTCTGAAAACCGCTTTTTGGATGTCAAGCCATGTCAAGCCGCAAGCCTTCTTGGCCATGTCGTCCAAGAGCTTCGCCGCCGTGCTGACAGACTTTCCCCCTTTGTCAGCTACGCATGCTACCAGCTGCTACCACATGCTACAACCACACATGGTCTTGATGCTCTCACAGCTAAGAACTCCACGGTGCTTCTTTGGCCGAAGGGATGTGTCCACACCTTTGTCTTGCAACCTGGGAGACACACAGCAGTAACACTTCCTGCAGGCGCTTGTCAGGTCGCCCAAGCCCTCCTTGCATCTCAAAACGACTCTGAAATACGCGGGCGATGGGGGAATCAACGAGGCCAACAGAGGACACGGTTGGGACTTGATGGAGTAGCGGCATGCGACACTCCAGGTTCTCAGTTCTCTGGGGCTGAGACTGGTTTCTAAAGCGTCGACGACAGCTCTTGACACATGATCTCCTTCTAATTCTAATGGTAAATCTCGTAAAAAGCGTCACCTGTCAGTCCTGCCCAAATGCTACAAGAAGCTGAGGCAAGAGCAGCAAAATGGTAGGCTTGAGATTTGAGTGAGCCGCACAATACACTGCAGTTCGACCATGTTTGTCCTGACACCACGACACTGCGAGGAAGCTCACACTTTGCACACCTGCGCCACAACCCTGAGGCCTGCAGGTTCAAAGACTGCACTGTCATGTTCTCCAAAAGCCACTGAACCTCGGCTAGCGGCTAGCGTGGTCATGCAACTGCTGCCTATCGCGAGATTCGGGGGCATCTCGTTCGACTTGGTCAGTGGAGTGAGAACTTGCCACTGCATGTGCAGAAAAGAAGCTGCATCATTCAAGCCCGCATGAGCCGCCAAATGCAGCGGCGTTTGGCCTGTGCAGAAAAGGACAAAAGTTTACAGAAATAAAGCAATGCGACACACTGCAACTGCTGTAGGTCCTTTGTGGTTGAGAACATTCGGATCAGCTGCTGCGTCAGCAAGAATCACACACGTCCGCCTCCGATTGCAAGTTTCCAAACAACATGGCTAAAGCCTCTCAGGACCTAAGAAAGCTGTGGCTGACAAACTTGCCTGTTCGGGACAAAGAAGAAAGGTGTTTGTCCATGGCCTCAAGTCATCTCTGATCAAGCTGAAGCCCGGACAAGCTCTAGGGCATGATCCCCCCGCTTTCACAATGCATTGTGCCCTCTAGGCATGAGGTGCCCACAGTCTTGGGCCTCGAAGTTGGCCCTGGACATGTCACAGCACGAAGAATATCAAAATCAACATGACGAGAGTACGACTGGAGTACGACGAGCATGAGTGGCGAATGCAAGGCGCCTCGCTTGAATCAGGGTTTTCATGGTGTCCAACGCGCCATCGAACGTGGCGAGGTGCAACGGGGTCACCCCCTCCGCAAATATTAAAGCCAGACCAGGGGTCACTGGGCCACCCCATGATTGTATCATGTCGTAATGTTGTCTCTCGACAGATGCGCACACATCCCTCCGTTTCAGGGCTTTGCACTACGGGGCCCGCAAGCCTTCTTGTCACAAACATTCACATTTGCTTTGTGTCGCAGAAGAGCTTTCAACAGCGGCTCGTTCTGTGCCTGGAGCAGAGGAAACAAACAGATGGTAGGAGATCGCGGGCGTCACAGTCGAACACAAATGCAAAGCAAACCTTCCACGGAGCCGAAGCCTGCCTGCACTGCTAGACTCAAGATGGGCACCGAGTCCTGCATACGACGCGCGGACGATGCATGGACATGAATCGAGCAGCGTGTGGCTACGCGCACATTCTGCTTCCACTCATGCGGCCCATTCATTGGTGGTGGTCTCAACTGCGCCACAAGTGACTTACCATATTGTGTTGATTCATGGCCGGCGGCCTGCTCAGTCAAAACACGCAGGGTCCTGGGAAGCGTTTACATTGGCCCCCTCGGCAATGGCATCTTCCACGTCAACCAGATTCTTTGTCCCTTTGATGACCTCTGCAAACGTGCATTCCATCGATCGGCAAACGGCCGCAGGTGTGAAAAGGTCATCGTTGTGCTGGGCCCGAGCTTCAACAACAATGGCGGCCACATCCATTGTCGGCACCGCCTGGTCGTCACAGGCCTCAACTTTGTCAGGTTCAATCGACATGCGCAAAAAGTGCAATGCTAAACTCAAACCGAAATTGTTACTGGACTCCAGCACACAGGCTGCTCTACAACTCTACGACTCCACGAAAAGCCTGTTGTCGCAGCCACCTTTAACAGCCCAATTTCCTCCACAGTTGCTGTTGCAGCTGCAGCTAGCTGCTCTTGTTGTGGTGCTTTGTTCTGGCTCTAGGAGTACAACATTCCACCCTGGACATCGCAAAATTGGCAAACAAATCGCGAAGAAGTTGTGAAAAATCAAAGCCAAAGCGGAACCAGCATGTGCCCTATGAAATGCCGACGTGCTCCAACAGTCAAACATAATTGCCGTCACATCTTGAAGCTGCAAACGTTGGCTCGGTTGCCCGCAAGGAGGCGTGCGTCACTCCACCAAGGCACACTGAATGTTTTATGAAAGATGAAAACATGCAAATTGCCTTGAGATGATCTTGCCTTGCACCCATTCATTAGTTGTCGGTGAATCTGCTGCCATGACCTGTCTCCCTCATTGCATGTCATGCCCTTGGTCCGAGCCAAAGCGGCTGGCTCATGAATGCAACAAGTTCCCACAAAGCCACAAAGCATCAAACAGACAACACAGATGGAGCCTGATCAACGAGCCTCACCTGTTTTGGCTTCAGGCTCAAAGCCGAAAGGTTACGCCCTGAACCCTGAGACCTTGAATGACCTTGAGCTCGTTGCTGGTTTTGATGCCCTGTCTCACGGCATCTCACGGCCCTTCGGCTTTCGGGTCAACCGGAAGCAAGTCCCAAGTTGTGCATCGACAGTGGGCACTCGCATTCTTTTCACTCACGCGTAGCTAGGTGCATCTGGTAGGATCTACCGGATCTACCGAGACGGAACTGGTGCACAAGATGCCACGCCGAGCTGGAAGTGTTGCGGTTGCTTGGTGCTGGTCAAGGCGAGCCTCCGAATGCAGCGACGCAAGAATTTCAGCGACGGGTTAAGCTGCCCGGCACCAAAACTCCAACGATCGGATGGCAAACGTCACAAGTCGCCCAAGCACCAAGCACAAAGGAGGGGGCCTTCGTTCAAGGAGGCCCCTCCACTAACCTCAGGTGCAGAAGTACTGGTCCTGGCCGCATTGGGGGCAGTCATCATCCTGCTGAGGCTGTTTTGTGGAGCAGCAAGTGTCCCACCAGTTCACCACAGCACATCGGTACTCCCCATTGTTCTTTCCTAAGCCATCATATGCCGCTGCACAAAGCGGGTTGCTTCTCGTAAAGTAGTCGGCATTCAATCGGCATGCAGAAGACTTAAAGTAGCCTCTCGGGCACTTCAGCACAATGAGGTCGAAGGTGCTCTTGCAAGCATAATCCACATCCCAATCTGGAAGCACGCCAGAGACATGCAAGCCTCCGTAGATCAAAGCTTTGACGATCCCGTTGTCCTGGGCCATACCCTGAACAAACTTCAATGCTGAATCGCTGAAATGTTTTCCAGATGTCTCTGCCGCTGAACACCTCTCCCAGCATTGGTTTGAAAGCGTCGTCGTTGGCTTTGCACCGTAGTTCAGTGCTGGGATCTGCGCAGGAAGGGTCTTCCCTGGGTCGCATCCGCCTCGGCACGACTTGCAGGAACCCACAGCCATGTGTCTTCATTGCTGTTTTGCTCTTTTCGCGCCACTAGCACTCATCTGTTACTTTTCGACTACTGATGGAAACCAACATCTAGATGTGACCAGTATTGTAGCATAGTCAAATAGTGCGACTAGCACATCTAGCACTGTGGCGTACCGTATTGCAGCCCAGTGGCGGGTCTCAGTGTGATTCTCCTGAAGCACCGCGTCGGCATGGGCGTGGATCTCGTGAAGCTCAAGCCTAGGTGTCGCTTTCAAATCATCTCAAAAACCATGGAGAACCAAAAGATCAAGGCACATGGATCGGTGCAAGCTCCTGACTGAACAAAGAGGTGAGATCGACAATTACTGACAGTAATCCCAAATGGGCACCTAGGGCGCTCTTTCATGCCGCGATCCGACCAGCTCGGGCCGAACCATGACCAAATGAACAACGCCACAAGCATCAGCCACGATTTGGCAAGCGTCGAAGTCCGATGGACTGACTGTCGTGAGTCGAAATTACGCAACTTTTGAACCGGAAGCGGCGGAGGTTTCCAGGCTCATGTGCAGTGATCGCCAGCCTTCTACGTTCTAAGTGGGGCTGCTACTGCTAGTGGCGTGGATCTGGGATGTGTGGAAACACTCTCGAACACTGTTCGCCTCCTGCGCAACAAACCCTACAAGCTCTGGAGTTCGGGGTTCCGCCGACTTCCGCATGGAGTGCCTAAATTTTGCCACTTATGTTGTTTGTGTGATTTTTGCCGATCCACAGGTAGCGCCGCCGCGCCGGCGAGTGTGCGAACCAGTCGGCACCAGCGCTCGCCGAATAGCGGGCGCTGTGCCCATGCTGATGCGGCTTCGGAGGAAAGCATGCCCAACAAGGGGATGTACAACCACGAGTTTCTGCACCCTTCCGGCCGCCCAGGTGGGCCGCGGCAAAGCCAAGTGGGGCGGCCCCGTGTGGCTAGTTCGGGGTCGCTGGAAAAAGTTGTTATTTTTTCCTGACACCTTTTTCCGCCAGCAGCAGTCAGTCGGCAATTTTTTTTTCAGACTCCTTTTTCCACACGCAGTCAGGTGTCCTGGTGTCGGCGTAGACGGGGGTGCCCTCACAGCCTGCTGGGCTCGGGTGGCAAGTGGCCTGCCAAAAGCTCCCCGAGCGGAACCTCGTGGCCGTCAGTCGGGTCACGAGGCCCCACGATGGGCAGCTCGAGAAGCGAGCAGGCATGCGCGCGCAGGGCGGCGAAAGATGCCAGCGCCGTCCAGCGCCGCATCAGCGCTTGCCTCGCTCCTGCTGCGCACCACGGCGCCCTCTGGCGAGCCCGCGCCCGCGCCAGCAGCCGAAGAAAGGTGAGTGTGGGACGGCTGGTGCGTCCGCCGACCTCGACTCCGACCACAACCAGTCGGCAGCGCCGCGCCTGCTGGAATTCCGGGTAGGTCCGGTGCTTGCGGTCGACTGCCTGGTTCAGCGCGAGGCCTGGCTCACGGTCGGCCCGCGGACGCGGCTGACCATCACGGCGTATGGGGCTGACGATCGTCGCGTCAACGGCGATCTGTGCCCCCTGCCAGATGGGGAGGCCGTTGGCCACCACCTCGATCCGGCGCCCGTCGGCCGCAGGCACATCCAGGTTGAGGTCACGCAGGGCGACGTGGGCGGCGACTCGGGCGCCTGCTTCCCTACAGATACGAGCCGCCGCCTGCTCGAGGGGGCCTGCTCTCTTGGCCAGCACACCAACTTGCGCGCATGCGGAGCGGTGGTCCCCATAGACGTCCAAGCCTCCACCACAAGAGCAGCGCCGCGGGGCAAGCGGGAGGGGTAACCGAAGTCTGTGAAACAGCAGCAGCGCCCGAGACGTTGGGTCCAGTTCGGAGAAAAGCGTCTCGAGCACGCGCTTGTCAGTGGCAGTGGTGGCCGCGTGCTGCCAGCCCGGTCTTCCGAAGCCGCCTGGGTCATGGCGTCGGCGCGCTGTTGCTGGGCTCGTCGCTAGCAAGTTGGCCCAGGTGGGCGCAGGGAAACCGAGCGCGCGCAGCTGGCGCGCCGCGTGGTCGGCCTCGCGCGTACTCCGCGCGTACTAGGGGGTGTGCCGGGCGCGTCTGGGGCTAGCAGCGGGCGAACCAGGTCAGCAAGCACGCCTGGGTGGTGCTCGCCCAGCGTGCACAAGGTGTCCGCCCACGAGCCCCAGTAAGCCGAGTGGCGTTGCTTCTCCGCAGACCCGAGTCCCAGTCCGCCCATGCTGAGGAGGAGCTGCGCTCGACGGGCGCTAGGGTCGGGGAGAGGCATTTCACCATCCCCCCCGGCCAGTAGCCTCGCGAGGCAGCGCAGGACCGCGGCATCATGCTTGGCGGCGAAGTCTGCCGTGTCGGAGGGCGGCACGGTCCGTACCAAGTAGGTGCACCGAGGCGCTGCACAGTACAGCAGCAACAGCCACGCTGACTGCAGGTGGGGCACGTGCGGGAGTTGCTGGAGCAGGCGGTCCTGCAGATGCAGCCCTCTGATATTGCGGGGGGCCGGCTTGGGCTCCACATTGTGTGATAGCTGTTGTGAAACTACGCTCTTCTATTTGACAAGCTCGAGCCTAGTCCGTATACATTCGTCATCATACGTGCGATGGCACGCACACAAATTGACATATGTAGAGACGTCATTCCGGCTCAAGAGGCTTCTGCTCCCAAAAGCGCCAATTAACAAAGGCTGGGTGCGCCCCGCAAAACTGCAGCGTGGCCACACTTCAAACCAGCAGGGCCAGCCTACAGAGGAACCTGCACAGCGTGGTCTTTACCGTAGCCTCGCCACATCCCCGCTCAGTCCAGCAAGCACGCCAGGACCGAGAGTTGCAGACAAACGGCAACAGCAGGAGTCGCGGGAGGAAGACCAAGGCGGGCTGGTCAACCGCCCCACCTCCTCTACAGGGGGTCCTCCCCGCTGCAGCTTTTTGACGGATGAGCCGACCAACCGCGGCAGAAAAGCCTCCCGGCAACACCAGGAGTCGCGGGAGGAAGACCAAGCTGTGCTGGTCAACCTCCCCACCTCCCCTACAGGGGGTCCACCCCACTGCAGCTATTTCAAGGATGAGCCGACCACCTCAGCCCCCTTGTCCCATGTGCCCGTGGACTCAGCCACCATCGGCACGAAAATCACACCCTGAGCTTCACAGCTCTGTGCAGTAGCAAGGTGAGTTTCCTTGTGCCTTGCATAGCTTGCAGCGGCTGCACACGTTTCCCTGCTGGCAAAGGCCAGGATAGGCCAGGGCCTCCTGCCGCTGCGGCGCCGTGATGGCGAAGTCAAGGGCAGCAGGAGACCCGGCCAGAGCCGGGAGGTAAACATCAGCAGGCCGTCTTCCGGCACCCTGAGTGTCCTCAGGGGACAGTGGCAGAAGCAGACCGGTTCGCTCCTTTTCAGGCCTCATGCCTGCTCGCTCCGCCCAGCTGCAGACGAGGTCACGGAGTGCTGGCAACAAGAAGTCGGAGCAATCACCACCAACGATGCCGGGGAGGGGGTGTTGTTGCGAAGTCTTGCCAACGCGGTAGCTGGAATCCCTGCTCCGCGAGGGTCTGTGCATGTCTGTTACGCACCCTGTAAGCTGGACAAAGCGACCGGGCGAATGCGGGTTCACGAGCACCAGTGGCTGGCAGTGAATCGGCCGAGGAGCCGAAGTATGCAGCGGGCGCATGCTCATGTGCGCTGCGGAGGCCTAGCCCGCTATGGCGGAGGGCGAAATGCACGCGCCACCCCACTGCATTGGGCAGGGAAGCTGCTGCCCTTTTCGCAGAGTTGCGGCAAAGGCCGCGGCCTGTGCTCGCGGCACGACCAGGAAGCGGTAGATGGCCGGGGGGCATGCGCAAAACAGGAGCAGCAGCCATACCCAGAAACGCACTCGTCAGATTCAAGGGGTGCCCCGAGAATTCGCAGGCCTCGGTCGGCAGCTGGTCGCGCAGGCCGGCGAGGTGGCTCAGCTGGCAATCCGGGGGGCAGTGCGCCACACACGTTCAAACACACGTGTTGTGCCGGCATCGAGGCGGATATGCGCGTGTGTGAAAAGGTTGTGCTCAAGACTGGCATGAAGGGTTGCGACTCTGTTGGGCTGGCCTGTGACATGGGTGTCGTCGAGGAAGGCGCGCACACGTTCACTGTTCGCCTCCCACGGCTTGGGTGATGAGTGTGCCTCTATCATGCGTCCACACATATGTGGAGGGACGGCCATAAAACAACCGCACAAAGGGCAAAATGCGATTGGCGTCGGGGACGCGGGAGAGAGAGGACAGCATCGCATGCCGACGAATGGAATCGTATGCACCAGCGCCATCGACCGACAATACTGCCATGGCAGGGTCGAACTCACACTCACAGGCCATGTCACACCGGCGGGCCGAGCTAGCAGCTGAACGGGCCCCGTTGTTGTGATGCTGCACTCGGCGTGGATCCGGTGTGGCGCGGTGGGTCGTTGACAGGCATCGCCGTGTCTCCGGTCCGCCACCGCGGTGTGCTGCGGCCGAGCGGGCCCGGCGTAGGGGGGAAGGGGCAGTTGACGGGTTCGGCCGCGTCTTCCGCCCGCGACCCCGCTAGCTTCATGGCCTACAGACGGCTGGTTTGGATTGAGACAACGTGCTCACCCGCTTTTCCTTGCATTTCGCCACCCTTTCTCCCGCATCCAGAGCGCTGCTGCTGTCGCAGGCAGGCCCATGCGCTGCCCGTGCCCTCACCGTCCGCCCGGCATGTGCGACGTCCGGAGTTCTTGCATCTCGGACACTGCCCTTCGAGGGTGCCGTTGCCCGTGTCTGTAGTAAGCAGGGGAGTCACGCGTAACCTTCTGACGCGAGTCCACGACGCGCGCCACATCGAGATCATCTGCAACGGCTTGACGGACCGAAGCCGTCGCCTTCCTTCGGCTCGTTGCCCGCGCGCTGCCAGCGTTCATGCCGCGGTGCGCTCCTCCATGCTCCTCCGCAGCCGCCGCGTAGTCGCGCGGTGGAGTGGCTTCATCGCCGTTGCAGCGCAGCGGGTGTTTGCCGCCTCCCTCCTCGTCGCCTGTTCTGCCGGAGCCCCGGCTTTGCATATGAGGTGCTCGGATAGGGTCGCTGGTCTGAGGCCAATAGCCACATGGCGCAATAAAACAAAGCAAGATCACTAGTCCTAACGCGGCTTTTCAGAGGATAATGGATCATAGGCCACGGCAGATATTATTGGCCCTCCCCCAGGAACAACAAGGGGCTAACATCCCATCTTCATGGATATGTTAACTTCTTTCACGCACTTGTAACCAACTAAAAGGGTGGCCGCTGTAACGGAAACTAAAAAAGGTTGTAACGGAAACAAACGGCAAAATGTAGCGGAAAGCAAAAAAAATGTAACGGAAACAACGGCCCGGCGAGTCGAAACAATGCGCGGCTGTAACGGAAACCAAGCAAAACTGCAACGGAAACCAAAAAGAGATGTAACCGAAATCACGGAAAACTTAAACCGAAACCTGCAAAAACCGGCTACGGAAAGGCGCGGCGCACCAGAAGGGCACGGCTCTTTTTTCCTGGCATGCAAAGGCCGTTCTGCAGGTACTTTTGGTCAGCGTCGCCTTGCGGGACACAAGAGGGCTTAGTGCTTCCAGGGCAGGGCCAGGGTTGAGGGTTCAGGGCTGAGGGCTCAGGGCAAGCCGCAAAACCCACAACCCCTGCAGCCGGTCGCCCGGATCTCCGCAGAGCAGGCAGACTGGAACTTCTTCAAGTTGTCCCCTAAAACCCTAAACCCTAGTTTCTGTAACGCCCCGAAGCCAGTTTCCGTTACGCCCTTTCGTAGTTTCTGTCGTTTTGAGGGGGGCAGTTTCCGTTAGCGCTGTGCAAGTGAAAAGGGTCACCTGTTGCTTGCGATCCTGATGCTTCGCGGAAGCGAAATTGAGCCACCGTTTGCATCGAGCTGCGATTGGGAAGCTCACGTTGACGACCGGTTGTTGCTGAAGCGTTACGACATTGAGCGTCCAACCTTCAAGAAAGGGACACGTTGTGGGCATGAACCAAGTGGCGGGACATCAACCAGTGCTGCCACGTGCATAGGCGAAGATTTCCGAGTGTTTCGATGTCGCCGGCCCACCTTAACCGGTCGCACCCATGCCGAGGCGATCTTTGCGTGTCTCGACGACACGGATGATCACGGATGTCATCTTTGCCGGAGCGGGTCCACGAGCTCTACGAGGCGTACAGGCGCGCGCTGTGGGCTCAATCGTGTGTCAAACTCAACTGCCGCAAGACGCGTGTCTGGAATGGTGGAACCGCCCGACCTGTCAGCGCTTCAGGGCTTGGCACCTCCCACCCACCGAAACCAAACACACCACCACCACCACCACCACCACCACCACCGCCACCCGCCACCCGCCACCCGCCACCCGCCACCCGCCACCCGCCACCCGCCACCCGCCACCCGCCACCCGCCACCCGCCACCCGCCACCCACCACCACCAACCACCCGCCACCCACCACCACCACCCGGCACCCACCAGCACCAGCACCCACCAGCACCCACCAGCACCCACCAGCACCCACCAGCACCCACCAGCACCCACCAGCACCCACCAGCACCCACCAGCACCCACAGCACCCACCAGCACCCACCAGCACCCACCAGCACCCACCAGCACCAACTAGCACCCACCACCCACCAGCACCCGCCAGCACCCGCCCCACCACCCACACCCACTACCACCCACACCCACTACCACCCACCACCCCACCACCCACTACCACCACCACCACCACCCACTACCACCACCACCACCACCACCACCACCCGCCACCCACCACCACCCTACCAACACCCAGCAACACCCAGCAACACCCACCGACACCCACCAACACCCACCAACACCCACCAACACTCACCAACACACCACCACCACCACCACCACCAAGCACCAGCACCAAGCACTAGCACCACCAGCAGCACCAGCAGCAGCAGCAGCAGCAGCAGCAGCAGCAGCAGCAGCAGCAGCACCACCACCACCACCACCACCACCACCACCACCACCACCACCACCACCACCACCACCACCACTGAGGAGCACTGTATGCCTGGAAAGCACTCAAGCCGCGATTTTCGGCACGGTGTCGGGCATAGTGAAAAAACGCGCAGACGTCAAACAGACGCAAAAGGCGTCCAAAGCACCCCCACCTCGGGGGGGGGGGGGGGGGGCACCCGTGCGGTCCACTCTTTTCGAGTTTCTCCCTGGTTTTTGGATCTGCTTCCATGTTATTCGACGATCATGCTACCGAATATGTCTAATATTCACCTCTATAACTAATCGCTCTAATAATATTCATAATACTATGCCTCTAAGTACCTGGGTCACTACACGCCTCTTTTTTTTCGACTCAACGCAAGGCACTGGTGATCGCAGGGCCATCAGAATCTCGGGTCGGCTCTCATGAAGAGCTGCTCCCAAGGCTTTTTGCGAGGATTGACGAGCGCAGACTTTAGAGAATCCTCTTTCAGAGGGAGGACTCTCTGGACAGTGCTCTTTTAAGGCAGAGGTTTGGGTTCGGTTTAGATTTTTGGGTTTGGGACTGTAAGATACCTGGGGCCATGCCAAGAACCTGCCGATACCTGCCGCCAGGGCTGGGAGAACGAGCCCGGAAGGGCGACAACTCTGCCAAAGAAGTGCTGTCTCGTCGTTGGTCATCTGATTGGCACCAGTGAGGACTGTGAAGAAGAAGCAGGTGGCTGCTGCCTTTGAAGCCGCGCGCAGCCCACGTTGAGCATACGCACATAAAACGCACCTCCATTCAGGTCTACAAATTCTTCTCCCTAACGCAACAACTCAATGCATTCAGGGCTGTCCTCTCTCAAGAACTGCACATAAGCTCCTGCTTGGAGAGTGCGCCTCTGGAAGCAGAGACGCAGGCGAAACCACCGCTCTATGAGGGGCCCACACGACCGTCACTGTTTGACAATGGAATGCTTCCGACCCCAACGCCGCACGAGCGCTCTCCCGGCACGGAAGCTTAGCCGACTGAGCCACAGTGGAGTCTACAGAGTGCGCGCGCGGGCATTGGTGGCGCCCGCAACGCAGATGGTCCACAGTGAAGAAGCAGAAACAGTGCTGGCTTCGTGCACTCCTGCCACTGCGCAGGCCTGCGATGGATGCTGGAGACCAATGCCGATACCTAGAGGAGATTTTCCATTCTGCAAGCATCTGCGTGCTACCGCTGTTACACGGCACGCGAGGAAGCTCGAGAACATATCACGAAACATACAAAACCCAGTCAGTGCCAGATGTGCTTCGCGAAGCTTCGCAACTGCACTTGCTCTTTGGCAAGGTCCCGTATACCAGGTATGCCAGCGTGGGCTCCGAGCCGCCATGGTCACAGCCACAGCGTGTCGCATGCTACAAATCACTCTCAAAGTACACAGCTGGCGCAGCACAGGGTCTAGACAGAATCGACATAATCTTCGCTCCAAAGAATGAGCTGGGCCTCAGGCAGACTCGTGTATCAGATTTAAACATGTTTGAACGCTTGCGATGCCCCCGAAACCTCACAGCATGGCTTCGAGGCAGGAATTTCACAGAACGTGGGCGGTCTTTTCCTGTCTCTCCCGGGAACAAGCACGCACATGAAGATCGAACTGCGTCCAATGCTGTAATGGTTAGCCCGTCTTGCTCACGGGCTTGACTAGCCAATAGGATTTAGGGCTTTAGGGTTTAGGATTCGGCGCTCGATTCATCGATTCGCCCCTGGCAACAAGGGCCATCTACTTCCTTCTCGTACGACCTTGCGTCTCTTTGGACAGGAGCAAATCGTACATGAGCGGCTGTGGAAAAACGTATGCAGGCGCCGCAGTGGAGGCAGGGAAGATCCTCCTATCCGTTCTCTTGCATCAACTGGACGTGCCGAATGATAGCGATTCTTCGCTCAAGGCGTCGTGCAAACGCTCGGAGACTGTGAAGAAGCCTGCTACCTCCCAGGCTGGCGCATCCAAAGCTGCCTTGGTTCTTGCGCGTTGTTTTCTCGGACGCTATAGGCTTCACATGGGCAGCAGTGGACCTAGAACTCACAGAGGCCGCGGTCACCTGACGCGACATCTGCAGGAAAGGCAAGCATGTCCCAACACCCTTCTGCAGGATGCCACTGTGCAGAACAAGCTGTCATCAGCTTATTCTGCAAATGCGCCCCAAGGTCCCCAAAATGAGTGTAAAGGTGCCCATGAGTTTCTCCCTGCTTCGAGGCCACGTTTAGACCCGGGTTATCCTCCAACTCCTCCAAAGCTTTTTCAGCTTCTCAGCTTCTCAAGCAGTGCAGTCTTCTCCGTACAACAGAAAGGCGGCACCTTTCGAAATGGCGCTGCTGCCAGCCCGGCCACCTCAATGTTAGACGTGCTGAAGACTCCCGAAGAGGAGCTCTGCTGGGAGCACTTCTCGGCAAAGATCTACGGGAGGTTGGGGAGGGTATGGGGGGCATTTCAAAGGGATAGCAAACCCCTCTTTTGCCCGGAGCAGCATGACGACCTTTTGGGAGCGTGCAGAGCCGAACGGGGACTCGGGACATTTGACGCATGCCTGGCCGACATGCAACGGCCCTCACTGGGCCACCCGCTGCTTGTGCCGCTTCAGCTTCCTGCACATAGAGAGATGATCCAGACCGGCCGGACCCTCTCCGGCAACAGAACAGGAATTGCACTCGAGCTTCGCTTGCTGGCCGTGCGATCTGGGCAACGAAGCGTGCAAGCTGCTGCCGTGTCCGCGCCCACTTGACTCGATTGCTCAGCCGACCGCGAAGGGAGATTACAAATGAAGCTCCCTCTTGCGGTGCGGTCGTGCGGGCAGGCCGTGCATAGAAGACATCCGAGCCCGTAGCTCGTAGTTGCAGAGCCATGCGCACGTTGTCTGGACTTTCGACAGGCCGATCGGGGCTCTTCCCAAACACTGTCTAAACATGGAAGATCGTCGAAGGCAGACTTTGCGACTTAGTACGACCTTAGCGTCATTTTTCCTGAGCCGTCGCATAAGCCTTGTGAATTTGCCCTTAAAGGCACAGTCGGCAAAGCGACCAAATCTGGAGAAATGGGCTGCTGGCCGGATCAGCCACAGGACAATGCAGTCAAGAGTAGTGATCTGCAGAGTTTGAAAGGGTGGCACCCATATACTGGCACCTTCGCACCACGTATGGGCCTTGCCTAACACCACACACCTCGCCACAATCACAGAATCCCTTACAGTGATTAGTGAAAATTGGACCTGAGCCCCAAACCTCCCCTGCGAGAATGAACTCGTCTTCGGCTATCGATAGCCGCACGTCGCTGCAGCTAAATCGGGGACGCAGCCAAGCGACTCCCAGGAAATGCTGGCAAGAGGAGAAAACTCGCGGAGAACCCGCCCCCGGCACGAGTGCGAAGGAGCCCAGCAAAAACCCCCCTCACCCTATAGTATTGCCGCAACGCACCGACCTGCAGCCTCCTACTATAGGACACCCTACACTCAAGATTATTCTACTTCGAACATCCCCACCCTCTCTTGGTAGAGATACTCTGGGGTTGGGCACTCCAGGGACACTCTGGGGCTGGGCACTCCGGGACTCTGGGGTTGGGCACTCCAGGGAGACTCTGGGGTTGGACACTCCAGTGACACTCTAGAGTTGGGCACTCCAGGGACACTGGATGAGCGAGGAGTAGACCGGGCGGGGAGAAGAGTTCCGGGCGAGGAGAAGAGTTGAGTTAAAAATCTAACAACCCCACACCGAGGGTGGGGAAAAAAGCAACTTCTGTGCAGAATGCAGAAATAAGGTGGCAAAGCAGAGTGCACAGAGCAAAGAAGATGAGATGCAGCTCAAGTTACATCTGAGCGGCAGCCTGCGCTTGCCGGCGTAGATTGCGTCCTGGCCACCCTCCAGCTAGAAAACTTCGTTGATGCTCCGAGCTGACCTATCCACCTATAGCTTCACAGGGGGCGGGGGCGTGAAAGCTTATCGTCACGAAGCCAATGATGCGCCTGCAGATAGGCTTGTAAGGTGAGCAAGACGGCCACTGCTTTGCAAGCGCAGGAACAGGACGGTGTGCCGCACACCCTCAGTCAGGCTTCCCAGGCACCAGCCGCTTCGGAGACGCGAACCGGCAGCACATCTCGCGCGTCCCTAGGGACGGAGCAGTTCGATGCATCCAAGGCCTCGGTGCATCACGCAGGAACCCGGAAGGAAAGGCAGAGAAAAGCCCAAGAAAAGCCAGAGAAAAGCCAGGCGAATTACCTGACTAGGAAAAACACTCAGCCGAACACGTCGAACGGAACCTGCAACTTTTGCACAGGATGTGGCTCACAGCTGGAACAAGAAAGACATCTTCTGCCAAAATCCCCCACCAGATGTCCCAGGCCTCCCAGACTCACCACGTGCAGGGTATTGAACGAAGCCCTCTCACCAGGAGCTTTTGTGACACTTTGCTGAGCAAAAATTCGAAGCAAATCAGAAATCAGAAAGATGGCTGTCATTGAATCAGAGCCTTCCGCGAAAGACCCCCTAATGACTCCCTAAAGTCAGCTCGCTGCTCATAACACACGCGCGTGACTTTGTTGTGGGTTTAGGATGGCCCTTGCCTAAAGCGGGAGGGGGGGGTTGGGTCTGGCAAGTCTTACCGGTAACATTTGCGGGTCATTCTGGGTCTCTGGAGCCAAAGCAGACACCCCAAACGAAAATAGTTCCCAAAACCCTTCAGTAGCCCACCCTGCACCCCTCCCTGGTCACCCGAGTCAAGGCTATGGGGGTAGGGAATCCAGAACTTCTAGCATCGGGGCCCGGTAGGGCCCGGTAGGGCTGATGTCGAAGCTGGCCAAACAGAAAACCCTCTGAGGATGCGCCGGATTCTAATTACACGTGTCCACGGAGTGTGAGTAGAATGCAGGGCAAGTAGCAAGCAACCTGCTCTGCAAGTACATGATTCGCAGCACCTTGTGAGCCATGTAGCACACTTGTTTGGGAGGCACATGCCTCAGAAGGAGCAGTGATGTTCTCTGCACTCGGCCCAGGTGGGGGAACGGGGTCATGCCAGAGAGAACGGCCCTGTGAGTGGAGTGGCATGCCAGAGAACCGGACACGGTCACATTGCAGGCGGGATGTACTTCCGAAATCGGCTCTGCGCCGTTGCGCAGTTGCGCCACACAGGGGGCATAAAGAAAAGCCCAAACCCTAAACCCTGAGCCCGGCTGTCGTAGCGCAATGAATTCTGCTTTATACCATACGCCACATAGTGCCACACGGGGTGCCTTAGCATTTTCAGACCCCTGGCCCAGTAGCGGGAAGTTGCAATTTACACCTCGGAGGAGGGCTTACAGTTTAAGGCTTAGGGCGGCATCTGCACTGACGTTCGATTCGTGATGCCATGAATCACACACGAAACGCGGCGCCCGAAATAGCAGATGCTTGCGAGGTACGAAAGAGTCCACTCCACGCCTACTTCTGAGGGTGGGGCAAAACTGTGAATCTTAGGCCTAACTCGCTACCGGTGAATGGCCGGAGATGCAGGATGCGTCCACCCCACACCACAGAGAACATGGTCGGCCGTAGGGCACTGCCCCCGACACCCGCACGAGTCTCCGTCCCTCGAGAACTCCGGCACCACGCAATGCGCCCGAACACGACGCAGCTTGACGGACCCAAGCGGAGGCCAGGCGCACGAGGCGCACGAGGAAACGCAGCTGGCGAAGTGGTCCGTCAGGTCAAAACATGGGCTTGAAGCAAGTACTCTTTAATCTTTCAAAATCAGAATTCTTTTTGCTGCTCGCTCCACTGTGTAGGTTTTTGAGGAAAAACGCAGAAAGTGCAAAGCAGTCGAATCGCGGTTGTGTCCCTCCCGGCCACTGAGTGCACAGGAGTGTGCGAAACCTACAAAGCCCACAGCTGAGATCGCCAACTTTTAACTGAATCTAAAGAGGAGAGCAAGCCGCGAAGCAGGCACGGGATTCTGCGCAAGCCTAATTGTTTGAAATTGGAGAAACTCAGCCAGATGCACGTGACATAGAGCCCATGTGATCAGAATCAGCCCCAAACTGCCAAACCACTCGCGTATGTTACTTAATGCTAGTGCATGCTAGTGCATGCGGCCGCCCGCTGCAAGTGTGCAGTTAAGCACAAGGCCACCGGGGCTTCCGAGCCAAGGACTGGCAAGTCGCTGTCAATCGAGGCAGCAAAAGTGGGGGCCCCTGTCAGATCAGGTGGGTAAGGTGGGTAACTCTGAGTGGAAGAGCTTCCCCCAACTCTTCAGCTGCTCAGCGCGTTCTCAGGTCCGAGTGACGTGCACGATCGACACTGGGATCAACACATCCTCCTCTAGCCTTAAGGTTGAAAGAGCTTCACGCGCACTGTGACCATGCTGCTTGGGTTGTGTTAGTGTTGGGCTCTCCTTTCTGCAGGGGTTTGCACTGTACTTCTTCTTTCCCGACAAGAATGCGAAGCAAGTCTTCGGACAAGTGCCGATACGAGGCACGCACATTCCGTCTCAACGCCGTCGACTGCTTGCATGAGGCTTCCGGGTGAGCCTATCTTTGTCTGCAACGTTCTGACTGCCTGCGGCCGAAGTTTTGCCGAAGTTCTATAAGAGAGCCTGAGCCAGCAAAGCCCTTCAGGAAAGCAGCCTCAACAACGGAATGGCTCGATAGCCTGACTGGCACGCAGTTGCCACCAGCTCGGCCGGAAAGCTCTCTCGGTGTCTTGGAGCACCGCGGATCCCATCACGAGTGAGTAGCCTGCTGAGGCTTTTGCTCAGTTCTGAGAACATGACATGCTGCCTCCTGCTACCCAGGACGAACAGCATGCTCCTTGCATGCCATGAAAATTCGAAGGCAGGGACCAAGTACCTCCCTAAACCTACATAAACCCTCGCCCCTAACCTCAACAATCACAAGTACCTCAGTTTCCGGTGCACAAGTCGACCCCCTCTGTTGGCCGAAGCAAGATGAAAGCTACCGCCGGCCGTGACCTCCACAACACCAGTCCCTTTAAATCCGGACAGCCGACTTCTGCTGATGCTCGGACGCTTGGTGAGCTCGGGGAAAACCCCTATACCCTTAAAGCCCCAAACGGTGAATCGCAAATGGAAGAAAGTTGCGCTCCAGGGGCCCATCCGAGTGCTCGAAGACCTCCGATGCCTTCATTGAGACAATACCAAAATCTCCGATCGATTCTGGCAGGTGTACCTTCCACCGAACCATATTCCTCGGACCATCCTGGTGCATACTGCCGCATACTGCCTCAGCCTCTGCGCATACGTGGAGTCGGCACATGGTACGAGGCCGTACCCCCCAAGCAAGAAGCGGCAGCAAAGCTCCGAGAGTTAGAGGTCGCGGCCGGCCAGGGGTCCTCCACATGGAGCTGCTCTTGAGACACGCGCACGGCCGGTTTTGCTCCGAGCACTGCGCTGCACACCCAGGACTCGACGACCTACATCTGCCGCATGACGTCGCGAATGAAAGGGTCGACGCTTGCCAAGCCACACAGCCTCTGGAGTCAAAGAGGAGAAATGTCGAAGGTATGAGTAAAGGCGTTCGCCTTCAACTGATGGGTCTTGCCAGTTCGCCTGACTTCGCATTCTAGCGCGGCTGACGCATATGCCAAATGCAATGACAAGCAGTGGTCCATTTTCGACCGTGCAAGAACTGACGGTGGCTCCAAAATGGCCAGAATAATATGTGATCGCTGGCACGGGTGCATCACGTGTCAGTGAAGAGGTCCCTTGCGGAAGCTGTGGTGAGGAAGCCCCCCTATGACGCAC